TTGATTAGACCAGCAATAAACAGAAAATATCCTTTAATTTGAAGTTGAATTTTGAAACTGTTACAGACGGGAGATTGGAAGAGAGCGGGTTTCTTTGCGATCAGTTAGCAAGCAGTGTGTGGTAGGGTGCTGCATTAAATGGGACCAGATGTAAGGAGCTGTGCAGGACCAAGCACCGTGCCAGCTGATGTCTTCTGTTACTCGAGTATCAGAGTAGTGTTTGTTTCCTTCAGTCTCATCTTCTCCATAGGGAAGCTCCCCACTAGGGCGGTGTATTACCTACATCTTAAAAGTGGTGCAGCGTTAAAGTGACTTGTCTGTGGTAGCAGAAGAAATCTGGCACAGAGCTCAGAGTAGAATCCTGTTCTCCCAAGTTTCAGGAGCTCTGTGCTGTGTCTTTTTTTTTTTTTTTTCCACCTATAGCTGCTTAAGATTTTCTGTGATGGACACTTCAGCATTTGAATACAGGCAACGTTCACCTTGGTGATACCCTAGTTCTAACTTAGTCTTCGTGTGCTGGAGTAGTAGCATCCTATCTTCAAATCAGTAGGGATACAGAGGTAAAATGGTCTTTCAAGACTGCACAGGAAGTCCATAGTAGGGTCAGAAATAGAAGCCAGGTCTTCAGATTCTGTCTTGCCCTGTTCCTGCATCACCTTCATTCCTCTCGGTTTCGTTTGTATTTCAGATAAGAAAAATCAGTTTGCTTTACCCCAGCACTCCGTATTAGCCCTGGGTTTTTTGTTTTGTTTGCTCTTTCTGATTGAAATCAAAGACGAAAGTGTGCTCTTATAAAGAAAACCCTCCCTCTGTTAGCTTTTGCATACAAGCCAGTATAAGGTGAAGGAAATATGTGGACCTGAGACTTGTACCCCTCGCATTTTGAGGGGGAGTAACGTCGTCATCAGACCACTGTGTTTCTTTCCCCTTTACAAAGAGCTAAGAGCTGGTGTGGGAAGTAACAGAAAAGGTAGCTTTAATGAAACAAATCATAAAATGTGTTCAACATCCTCATGTTACATATATCTATGCGTGAGTCAATAAAAGAGGCTTTGACTCATGGTCCTACATTCACAAACACATTGCATCATGATTTAGAAGAGGGGTTGACATACTGATGGTACAGTGCCAAGTGTGGCTTGAATGTCTTTGGAGGGCACCTGGCTGTGGCATTTAAGTGAGACAGTGGCTCCCAGCTTTTAGCGAGTACTGAACTGTGCAGAGGCTGGGATAAACGCAAAATACTGGCTGCTTGTGGTAGACAGGATTTCCCAGCTCCCTCCGGATTCAGGTATCTGCTGGTGCCCCCGCTTTGTGTTGCAGTGATGTACTGTTGGACCTGGCTTATGTCTTTGAGAGGCAACTTGTTTGGCCAGCCAATATAGAAATATTACAGGCTGCGTGTCACCACTACTGCTTTGCTGCAGATGTCTTGTGGGTGTGCTGTTTGACTTCCACAGATTCAGTCAAGATGAAGATGATTTGAAAAGGTAAAGCAGATGGCTAAAGAAAATAAAGCAAGCACTGGAAGACTGATTTAAATCAAATATCTTGTGCGTGGTGAAGTTAAACCAGTAGGGACTTCTTTGAGAGCGGCTTACCTGAGCAAAGTGGCAGCATTTGAGGTGCAAACTGGTGCTGTCAGTTAGCTGGCCAGGAGGAGCTCTGCAGCAAAAGAGCTGCGAAGCTAAAGTCCGCTGCATAAAGACAAGAATGCACGGAAATGCCCAGTTTCATTTTTGTGCATTTTAAATTACTTTACAATTTTTTTTTTTTAAATACACTATTCCGTAACTTACAGTTCTTCAGCATGGTGTGATACTGGGTTTTAGGATTTTGCAATGCTCTTAAGAGGCTGAGAAATTAATAGAAAATGCAGTGTCTTCTGATTCAGGAGTAACTCAGTGCTGTGAATCTGCCTCCAGGCTTTGTCTCTCTGTGTGGATTTGTTTAGTGGTGTATTTAGTTGATATTCTCACTGGAGAGAGTTTCTCTTACCCAGCATAACTTGTTCTGTAGTAGTCTGGTTGTTTCGAAGGAAATTCTTACTGAAGTGTTTCATAACAACGAGGCCACAGGGAGTCTCAGCTGAAGAGGCAATCCTAACTTGATTCAGACATGTGTGTTTGGGGGGGGGCATGTTTTTTAACTTTCCATCCAAGCTGGCACTGTAACTAGAGCAAGTGAAAGAAAGAAATCTTTCTACTTTAATTGCTTTATACCTAAATGTCTCTGGTACAGGCTGGGAGATCTGTTGAGGTTTTGAAGGTCTAGTTTTCAAACCTGGTTGCCCACCCACTATTATCATTAGCTAAGCCTGCTGTAATTTTCTTTTCAATATGCTGCATCATGGTTTGTTTCACCTGGCTGTTATCACCGGTCTGGTTGTTTGTCAGCTATAACCAGTCTTGTTGACTGCTTACACTGTCATGTTTGTAGTCTTGAGCTAGAGACTCTGAAGTCTGTTTACGGTACTCAGTATTTTGGATACTTGGACCATTGTGCTCCAACTCAAACAAAACATGGAAAAAAGTTAATGCTGCTATTTTTGAGAGTGTCTGAGATTGAAGGGTGAATGTTCTTTAGTATTTCTCCCCCCCCCCAGTAGTAATTCTGTGTGTGAAGTGCCCTGTTTGCAGTGACAGAGGAAGCATGTGGTCTGCTTTATCTAGCCTAAGTTAAAAGACCTCCCTTAATGATGTATTTATTTATGCCAAATGTATTCGAGTCATGCTCCTGTAAAGTGCCCTATAACTCTTTTGGGGAGGCCCTGGATATTTTGGGCTCTTCCTCCCTCCTCCCCCTCAGTGTTGTTCTCTGGAAGTAATGTGTCTGTTTCACAGTAATCACTTTGCAGGTGTTTTAGGTAGGATTTTCAACAACCAACTAAATTAAAACAAACCAACCAACCAACCCCCAGCTTGCTGCTGAGAGTTCCACCCCCCCACTCCTCCCCATGACCGCTTAAGTGTGGATTTAGTGGAATGTGCTGCATGCTTTTCATGCACTTCTGAGTCTAGCGTCTCAGATTTTGTCTCTATCAACAAATTGTGGAGTTGAAGACATTTTTAAATGGCTTGTATGGTCTGCTTAGGTCTCGCTTGCAAATGTCCTATATTCACTTGGAATGTTTTATGCATTTTCTTTCCCACTCAGATTAGAAATGAGCATGGCTTTTGGAAATTTGATTATTTCTAATGATGTTTATTCCCGTGAGAAGAATGGACTGATTTATGGTCTTCAGAATGCACAAAGCATTGAAGATACCAGAGAGCTGAAATACCTCTCAATGGAAATGACTTTCAAAAAGTTGCTACTTCAATTTTTACTTCTAGATCTGAAAGAAAAAATATGCCAAACCTAGACATCTGCCACTGAGGATTTTTCTAGGTGCAGGGGGATTTAATGCATTTGTGGGACATCAGATTCAATTTAGTCACAAGCCATTTAAAGGTTTAGGCGTTAATGGAAAAGGAAATACTTGGTGTAGGCTTTAGGAATGAATTTAGGGTGTAAAAGGTTGCCATATAAAAGCTTTCCTCCTCAGCAGCAGAGAAGTTCTGGAAATTGAAAGTCTAAAGGATGTGAAAAGTATTCCAGCAGGGAGGGGAAGGGTGGGACATTGTCTTGTCCTAAGCAATGGCCTGCTTGTGTTGGCATGACTGATTACAGAAGAGGAAGAAAAATAGTGGTGCTGTGGTTACACAAGTGCCACTTATTAGTCTTTTTTTTCCCCTTCTCTAATATGCCCTGTTGTCTGCACTCAGAAGTCTGTTTCTGCTGACGGGTGTGTAACTGGGAGGATGGGTTTCCTCCAGCCTGTGAAACAGGGCTCTTAGTATTTGTGTAGGTCCGCAATACAGACTTGAATGTCTAGCAAGACCTTCTGAACAGAGAATGGGAGTATGAATTTATAGCTCTATGAAAGACAGATAGTTTTTGGTGTTGCAAATGGTGCTTATATAGCATAGGTTTTCAGATAGCTGTTTAAATTTTATGTTACTGAACTGTATTTCACAGGGAAGTCACATTCCTGTTCTATGGATGATGAAACTTGACTGGCTGGCTAGAGGGAAAGGGATATCGTTAGTTCTCAGCTGGGTAGAACTCCAGTGTCTCTTCACCTAAATGCTTAGGTAGGGGAGACCTTTAAAAGGAAGATTTTGGTTTAGGTTTAGATATATTTATATCTGCTTTTTTAAGTTCCTTGGCTACCTGTTACAGAAGCACTTAAATAAGAGAGAGAAGGGGCTTGATCTTAGTTTGTTTTTTTTTCTAGAGATATTCTAGAAATGTGACTATTGCAACTCTTTGCTGGCATAGTTTTGGGACCCAGAGCATATTAGCAGTGGAGCAGAACATAAATTTACCAGAGAATGTCAATTTTACTTTAGTGGGATTTGGGCATGGTGAGGGAACACCTTGAATTTGGGGCATGTGATCTTTTAGTGAGAATAAGGAAGACCTTGTGCATTTCAAATAGGATTTATTGTAAAACATGGTATTAATTTCAAGATCTTCACAAGTGTGCTTAACAGTGGTTATGTAATGCACCTTTTAAAATGTGATTTTTAGAATTATGTGTTTGCTGAGTGAAGGTAGAAACTTTAGTACTAACTTTTTACAGTGCCTGTGTAATGAATCCTAAGTCCTTGTTTTAGGTATAACCACAGAAGTTCTTTTTCTCCTGACAGTTAAGACCTTTATCTGTGCCCATGGTGGTCACCCACCTACTGCTGCGGTGGCAGTACAGTTTGGAACGTGTAGGTCCTTGCCTGGAGCTTCAGTGATTGCTTCTGCGTGAAGTTTGCCCTCATCAGGTTGGATTGGCCTGTAGAAAGGAGCGGGTGTGTTGTGGAGGGGTGTTGCAGTTGGGAGTTAGTAATTAGAGGATGAGAGCTAATCAAGTTTTTTCTGACTTTACTGGAATACTTTTCCTGAGAGCTGACTATCAGTTTGTATGAAGTAACTAAGCAGTACTTTTTCTGTTTCTCCTGCAGGCTGGTACGTGGTCTGGCAATTGTTTTTGTCTAAATTCAAATTCCTGAGAGAACTGATAGGCGATACGGGGTCCCAACAGGGAGACAACGAACCTTCAGAGGCTGAAGCTGAACAGGAGACTCCACCCTCGCCTCAGAGAGGTAGACAGAAGTCAGCTCGACAGCGAAGGGCACCTGCAGAAGACACAACTTAAAGTACTCTGTTGAACTTCTGACTCGCGATGAATGGTTAAGCACCTCTGCACTGTGTCGTTCAGTGGTTTGATCGTACTGAAAAACTGACTTAAGAGGTAACATTAATACGTGTGGACCTTTACTTCTGAGCTACCTATATATGCTATTCGGTAGAGGTTCAGGGAGGCCACAGCAGCAAGTCATAGAATGCTGTAAGAAAGGAGGGGTGGAGAGAAATCTCCATCAGAAAAATGCTGAACTGCTATAGCTCCCATCTCTGCACACAGATTAAACACAGGTCCTGGACCATAGGCTTTGCCTTTGCATTAGTTTGAACGTAGTAAACATTTCAGACTTGAAATGATTTCTAAATTTTTTTTCTGTACAGCACTGTAACTACATATAGTCAAACTGAGTTTTATTTCCTTAGCTATATGTGAATATATTTTTTCTTCAACCTTGAGAATGCATGTGAACATGAAAAATGGTTGAAAGAATATCCGGCTTTAGAAAGTATTCTGAAGTCACATTTTAGTTATATTCTTGTTTATGTTAGAAGTATAAAAGAAATCAATATTAGATGCACATGATTTGGAGGTTTTTATTATCTCCTTTTTAAAAAAGGCAAAAAAGGGAATCAGGTGGTAAGACCTGTTTTCTTGGTTTTGGCATAAGAAAGGATTATGTATGTTTTTCCTGAACCTTGGAAAGGTTAGGATTCTGTATGTTTTTCCTGAACCTTTTACTCTAAGTCCAACTTGTGTTGGAGAGGGGAAGGTGCCTAGGTTATATACTCACTGTTTAGTATTCTGAAGTGTCATCTTTGGTTTTTGGATACTAAGCACTTCTGTAGTTCACTTCGTACACCTTTACATCAGGTATATGGTACCTGACGTAACTTCTTTCCTGGAACCAGTTGAGGCATTCTGACCAATTTGGTAGACGTCACTGTAACACTTTGGTAGTGTTATAGCAATGAACTTGGTACCTCGTGTTTGCTGGAGGACTTACTGATTTTTTTACTGGTAGTAAGCAGTTGCTCCTGTTTGCTTTGAGAATGAGTTATACAGCTATTTTGACATTGCACTTCAGAATGAAGATCTCCACTTTTGTTTAGCTAGAAATTCTGAAGATTGATGCATGAGATCTTTGGAAAGAGGAGGAACATGCATGTACCACCTCTGGTGTGTATGGGAGAGAACTACCAACATGTCTTGTCATGAACAGCTTCAGTTTTCTCTCAAAGCTTGGATACATGGTGGTGTTTGGATCACTGTTCCCTGTATAAAAACTGTTAAACAGGACTACAAAATTGGTCTTGTACTTTCAGCTGTTAAGAAGCTTAAACTTACAGCTTCCAAACCTGTGGTTTGGTTCATTTATATGGCTAAAACCAGCAACGTTGAGCTTTTTTGTCAAGTAGGTCTACATCTGGGAAAAGAGCACTCTTTTAGCGCCTTCATGTTTTAATTTGTCATCTGTGAATACTGTTCAAAAGCTAATAAGAACATTCACTTCATAAAATGATTTGGATGTTTGAGGATTAAAATGTATAAGGTCAGCCCTGACCTTCCTTTGGAGTCTGAAAGTCCTTGTTTTGTTTAATAGCATCTATATGAGCATGCTTTGTATTACAGGGTCACACTTTCAAGCATGATTAGGCAGTGCTATGCACATATCCTTTAAACACATGTAGAAATACTGATAGTCTCCTTCCTCTGTCCTGTCTGCTGGCAAGGGAATGCCTCATGATGGGTTTTTTAATTAGTAAAATTCCCACTTGTTCAAACTGAGCAAAAGCAATCAGATTCTATTCCCTGCTGCTTTCAGCCGTTTGCCTTGCACAACTGAACGTCACAATATTCCTGGGTCTGTATATCTTTTCCCATGATGAGACTTTCAGTTTAGCAGTGCTAACCAAGTACTGGTACATTTTTCTTTAGAAATAGCTTTAACATCTTTGTCTTGAGCTTTGCTAATATAGGCTTAAAAGAAATACTTTTGTACTGATGGAGGATATTGACACTCCACCGCACTTCATTTTACTTGGACTTTAGTGCACAGAGGATGGCAAAAGGCTGATGCTTGTAGTATCCCCAGCTGACATAAGTAACAGTTAACTCAGTTTCTGCTTTTAGTAGCTGTGAACAAGTGTGAAGTTACAGCAATATGCATAGCTAGTCAGGGTAGCTCTAAAGGTGCAAGAATCAAGACTCTGAAGCAAGGTAATGAAGGAAAAATCCATATGGGACTGAATGCTGACAGTAATCGAATATGCAAGAAGATGGACATGGAACCTGTGGGTAGCTCATCTGCTCTAGCCAAACACCTTCCTTCTCCCTTGCTGTATGCAGATGTGCATTTCATTCCCCAAAGTTATTTTCAGTCTTTTTTTTAAACAGTCCATGCTATTTTTTTAATGTTGCTGTGACATAGCTGCCAATAGTGCTACCTAGTGCATAACTTTAATCATCTTGTTAGTAGCAGGCCAAAGGTTTATATTATGTGGTTTGGAAGAATTTTGTAATGCTGATGTCTTCTGTCAATGCGTAATTTTTCCTGAAGGAGTCTGTAGTAAATTCTTTGTACAGGGCACTTCATGTGAACCTGTAAAATGGCAGCTGTCTGTGTGAAAGTGTACGTGTGATAAGACCTGGGTTGTGATTGCTGGCAGTCCGATATGCTCATGTCTTTGAATATTTTTACCAATGTACTTCTGAAATGTTACTGGTGAGTAAGCACTTAACTTCGACTTGACCCTTTCAAGTCTGAAACCTCATGAAGGCAACAGGTTACACACTTGGTCTTGTTTTGTTTAGTAGGATCTATTTTTAAAACTGTTCATTGCCTTATTGTTGCAGCCATTCTCTTGAATGTATTTTGGGTTCTTATTTTAAACATAGTCACATCACCTTTGTTGCAATGGCTGTGTAACTTCGAATAAGTAGTAATTACCTGTGTTGTGTGTGACAGTTAATTGAAAACAGTTACTGCAGTGAAGGATGGAACAAACAGTATAGACTGGTGGAAAAAAAATAGAAAAGCCATTGCGAAAACTTGAGGAGTGTAAACAATGTTGTTCATTCTGAATTGTGTAATTCAGACCTGTTAGGAAGCCACTAAGGTTATTATCATGGTGATTTAACATTTGCCCATGAGGTTAATTCTATGCAGTTCATCCACTAAGCACTGCTGCTGTAGCTATTTGCAGTAAATGCCATATACTGTGCTGCAATTTGTGAGCAACTTGCTGCTTAATACCAGGTTTTACACTGAACTAGACCTGTGTATCTACTTCTGTTTTGTTTGGAAATGACCAGCATAAAGAATGTGCTCAGTGTGGTCACTTGCTTTGTCAGTGTTACAGTGCTGTACCTAAAGCTTCTGTGGTTGTCTGTTTTCATCATTAACTGTTCTTTTAACTGACTGCACAGATAAAAAAAATAAAGTAACCAGACTTGATACTAATGTTTGACCCAAGTGGTTTTCTGACTTTTTTTGGAATGGGGTTTTGCCTGTAGAAGAAGACTTCTTGAATGTGCAAAACTACAAAATCAGACTTGGCAAAAGTCGTGTTCTAGCTGGTGTGATACCGGTGTCAGATACTTGCTAAACATGTCCCTGCTTTTCTACTTTGGTACTGGTGCCAGGGAAACAGTCCATGGTCTGTTTCAGCAGGGTGAATAAAGGTGCTGTTGTGTAACGCTGCTCCAAAGTTCCACTGAAGGCTGTTTTAACTGGTCCTGCTCCTTTGCCATGGGCGCTTGGGTGCTGCCCTCAGGATTCTCCCGTGGCCTTGATCCTACACAATTAAAATGTGCAATCTTTGTGAAATACAAGTGGTGTTTCATCTTGCTTGGGTAATACTTGCATGAAGATTTTTTTTGTTACTTGAGGTTAGACTGGAAGTTGGCAGTGTAAAATACACTTCATATATTAAACCTTTAAGACATATATATTAGTTGTAGTCTTCATGTAGATCAGCAGCTCTTAGGTTTTGAGCGTCTGTGTTATCCCCAGGGGTGTTTATAATCAGTCAAATGTTGTCTCTGAAAGTTGGATGGAATGGAGGCTTTCTCACTGCTTCGTAGACTGCACGTGTAAAAGAGGAGGCTTTGCATCTGGTCTAGGGGTTATGTTGATGTGTAGCAGTGGTACACTCTGCTTCAGGCCACAGGAATGGCCAGATGGACCTGTGGGTGGACAGAGCAGCATCAAGGAGCGCGCGGAAGAACTAACCAGTGCTAACAATGTCTGGGAGCTCTTGGGGTGCAGTCACCTTTGGAGGAGGTACAGCTATGGAAACCTGGGGGAGAAGTCTCTTAAAGGCAGGAGACCTCTTTCATCAGTAGAACTCAAACCAAGACTAACACCCTGGTTTCTACAAATGGTGATACTGAGATGAAATGCATCTTGGGCTTTATTTTCCTGTGCTTGTATTCACAGGGCTTTTCTGCAATGGGAGGGAGAGGCTAGCTCGCTGTATGTGTTACCAGTTTCCTCTCCTCCATGCTAGAGTATTTGAACATCTCGTGTGGGAAGTTGAAAGCCTCCTGTTAACAAATGCATTTATTCACAAGTAACACAAGCTCTGGCTTGAAGTAACTTTTGCTGCCAGTCTGTGCTAGATTGAACCACTGGAGCTACATTTGTCTTACAATCAATCCTGAACTTCCTAGCACAGTGCCCTGCTTCTCATTTAAGGGCCATCTGCCTTTCTGAAGGCTTTCTTATTTTGAGCTGTTGCAGTTCCTGTGTCTTGAACTATCCCTGCAATGCCAACTGATCAGCTGTTAGCCTTTTCTGTATTTAAAGTGTCAGGCAACATCCTTGCTGTGGTAGAACATGTCAAAATAAGTCTCTTGCATGCCAGTAATTTCCGACTGGAGTGGTTTTGGTTTTTAGAAATGCGAAGAGTTGTTACCTGTGAGTCCCATAAGACCCTGCATTGAGGACATCCTGGAAGAAAGAGGAATCATAGAATCATGAAGGTTGGAAAAGACCTCCAAAACCTTCAAGT